ATTCTAACAAAAGCAACCTTTTTATGTTGGTGGTTGTAAATGGGCCTTATCTTTGTTTTCAGAGCTGTCTTGAGCATGGCCTTGTGTAACAAATGCATGAAATCAATCCCTGACTTCCTTTTTCTCAATCAGCATGATTTTTTTTTATCATTATGTCTGTCTCCCTTGACCCAGACATCTCCTCCTTACTCTTTTTAGACCACAGCTGCACGAATAGAGATAATCTGTGGACTTGTGCACTGAATCCCAGAGACACCTCCCCTTCTTCAAGAGACTATTGAGACCATGAGCACAAAGCCACTTCTTAACTCTTTTCAGCAGTTCCTGGCTGAGGTGCACGCCCACCTGGCCATCTTCCCACTGTACCATCATCCCCAGTGGTCCTCCTTGACTTTATCCAGTTCCCCACTCCTCCCTCACTTCCTATATCCCCTCCCTGTGCCCTGGGGAACTGCCCCCCCAAAGACGTTAAATAAAGTGCCAAGGTCATACAAACACCAAATGACAGAATAGAAATTTGAATCAAGCAATCTGATTCCGGAACCCCTGGACATTTTACCCACACTTGCTATGGCCTCCACATACAGCAGATTCTCCAGTTCCTCAACATCTTCCCACTTACTTACTCTTTCATTGTAACCTGGCTTTTACTGAAGGTAGCACCTTTCTTGCCTGGAGAGTGATTGGTTCTCTCATGTTCCAGCTCTAACCATTCTCTCTTCTCACCACTGCCTTTCCAAACAATCACTTCTCCTCCTTTAAAATTTATGGCATTTGCTTATACAATCCACTTTCCCTCCTTACCACTGTCATCTCTACAGCCTTGCTGGTGCCTGAGGAGAAACAGAAAGCAGAAGAATATAGCTATGGCAGCAAGATTTAGTTGAATGGTGCTAAGGCACCAATATAAAAGGCAGAGAAATCTGAGTTCTGGCCACACCAATCCTCACTCCGATCAAGATGTGCAGGCTGCCATGCTTCTACCAAAACTCCACGGGAAATTAGAAAGACATGAAGAATCCCCAGCCCCTCACTGATACCTTCAATTTCACATATATCCTTTGCTGGTTCTGGAGAAACCAATGGAAAAACAACCTTAGTCAGATCCAAAGCATCCCTGTAGCCAACTTCAAACCCACATCATCCACTGTGGTCTAACCTCGCTAGTCTACCAGCTGAGGGTCGCTCGCCAGAGGAGTCCTGACATGACCCTGGATGACTTGTCCATCCATATGGATGACATAACTCCCGAATGTCTCAACTTCTTGATCTCATAGCCAATGATCCCCTCCTCCATCACCCCTCTACCTCCATTTGCTGCACACCATTACCAGGACAGTTGAAAGATGCCAGAAAAACAGAAAAACACAGACACAAAAGTAGAGTCCTTGAATGCACATCAAGGCTAAAATAATTTAACGTCCACAAAAGAGTCATACAGAGCTAGGCACACAGAGTACCTGTGTCTCTGAAAAACTGTAGCACTTTTAGTATTGCTCAGAGTGACCTAATGAAGGAAGACTTCAGGGAAGACAGAAACTATGAGGTACTTCTTATTCTGTCATTATCCAGCTGTGCAGTTCTTAACATGCTATTTCATCCATCTGGTTCTTGAGTCTCATCTCTGTAAAAGAAGAGGTGACCCAAAGTGGTCTCCACGTCCCCTTCCAGGTTCAGAATCCAACACCCCCTGCCATCACTGACAACTAAGCTGTATGAGCAGAACAATAAAGGAGAGACCTCTGTGTTCTGAGACAAGGTGGCTTTCAGCTGAACCATGAAGGAAAGAATCAGACAAGCTAAGGACAGAAAAGGACTTTCTAGAAGCAACATAGGGTTGAGAACACACAGGGCATTGGGTGACAATTAGTAACACAGCAAGCTTGATAAAGAAACTCTCCTCTCCAACCTCACCACGCCCTGCCTCATTCCTCACAGAAGCCATTCTGTGGCCACTCCGATGCCCAGGATCCAGTCAGTCCCTGGAGCTGGAAGCTGTGCCTAGCGACTCCCTCCTCCGGGCCTCTGGTGGCCCGCTTGCAGCCACCTTCCCCCGGTCTCCATGACCCACTGTAGACCTCTGGAACTGTGGGAAGGCCTGAGTTGCACATGAATCATGCATGTGTCAATCAAGCTGACACCAGGGCCATGCAAGGCAAGAGCACTAACAGACAACCAAGCAGCCTGGGTCTCCGGGGCCCTGTGGAAAATGCCAGGGGTTTTATAACCCTCCTCCAACAAGGAAATCAGCCCACACCTGGAGGATCCACAAAGACTGTTTAATAAGACATTTGTTTACTTCCTTCCTCTACCTCTGACAATATAATCCTTCCTGATTCTCTCTATGATTTGACTCTAAATGAAAAAGTATGATCTCACGGTTCGGCGGCGACAAGCCTGCAACACACTGGCAATCTGTCAGGGCTTCAGCATTTGATCTGCAGAGATGGAGGAGTAAAGACAAAAATATGTTCCTGGTAAAAATAACCTACCGTTCCTCCTGTCCAGGAGAGACCGCAGTCTTCTGGAGACAGTCCAAGAAGAGATCGAGAGAGAAGAGGGAGCGGGGAGTCACTCTTGTTCATTTTTCCTAAAACAAAATAAAACAAAACAAAAACTCTAAAAGCCTACTTTAATAAAGTACAGTCTTCTTTGGGTTTAAGATAATTTTAAAGCATCTTTTTAAAAAAATCTTCGCGATTAACTGATGACCCTGCATCACACCGAACCCAAGAAATTAAGTATAATTACAAAAGTGGAGGGCAAGTGCAAGGTCAAGGGTGGGCAAGGAAACTGTGTGGAAAGTCAGGGAGTGGAAGAGTAAAATGAGCAAGAAGAAATATGGTTTTCTTAGAAGGTTTGCTCTTTTGGTCCCCACATCCCTGACTTCCTCAGCATCCCTCACAGAGCTGGAAAAAAGGGATTTTGCAGGGCTGGCAGCCATGCACCCATCCCCACCCTTCACTCTTCAGAATTTTGCAGGTGCAGGTTTTTTGCATCACTGAATTCCACTTACTTATGTCCTTTTGACTCCCAGCCACCCCACCCCAGCCCCAAGTGTTTGGGAAGAGCTGGAGGGAGGGAAGGGAGATGTCAGAAGCCCACCTATCAGTTTTATTGACTATGTGGTTTCACTACTCTGATTATGGGGCATCAGCAACCAACAAAACAAAGATCCCTGCCCACGGGACTCTCAATTCTAGGAGAGGGAGGGTAAGACAATCAACAATAGTAGGCACTAAGTGAAAACAAGTAAATTATATGGTGTGTTAGAAGGTGTTAAGGGGTAAATACCCAGTAGTGCAATTGCTGGGTCATAGGGTAGCTCTATTTTCAACTTTTTGAGGACTCTGAGAAACAAACTTAGGGTTCAGAGGGGAGGGGGCTGGGGGAAGGGGTTAGCCTGGTAGCACTGGGCATTATACGCAAACAATGAATCATGGAACACTACATCAAAAACTAATGATGTAATATACGGTGATTAACATAACATAATAAAATAATATTTAAAAAAAAAAGAAGGTGTTAAGGGCTATGGATAGGGTCACCAGATAATTTATCCTCCACACTGGGATGCTCAAGAGTGAGAGAAAGCACTATTAATCATTTTACTGAAATAATCGTGGCAAATAGGAACTATCCTGGACAAATGGGGATGCGTGGCCACATCTGCCATGGACAAAGGAGAAGCAGCACTGAATGAGGAGAGTCTAGAGTATGGGTAGGAAGGGAAACCTGTAGCTATTTTCAATAGAATGGTCTGAGTAGACCCCATGGAAGAGGGGATGCCCACCTTCCTGAGCCCCCTTTTTCCCATCTATAAAAGAAAGAGGTTGGCCTAAATTAATTAAGGTTGCACATAAGCTCTAACATTGCACTGTCAATGATCCAGAACAGATGGACTCCTCTTCTCTGGTTCGCTGTAAGAACAGGAAGAGGAGGATGCTTGGGACTGATGAAGGTGCTGATCTGAGAGGCCCAGTAATGATGGTTGCAGACTGCACGCTCCAATCCTCTACCCTGATTCAGCCAGTGAATGTGCATTCTCATGGCTGCACAGGCAAAATTGTCCCACAGTGCAGGCAGCCTGTGTTCTGACTCACAAACTCATGTGGTGGCCACCATTCCAGAGGGGGCCGAGTGCTGTTCCTCCCCATGGTGATCATTGTTTTCCACATTGACCTGTCTTGTCCTTGTCCTGATGAGAAGCCATTTTGTTAGTAACATAGCAGAATGGTTGACAAAGATAGTCTAAGAAGGTTAGAGGCAGTTCTGGTTTTGAGAACGGAGGCAATTCTGAGAAGAGGATGTTTGGTTTTTGAACAAATAAGCTAGACATGACAGAGAGCCATCCAGGTGAAAATATCCCCTGACAGTTGATATGACAGTGCTCAGGAGAGCGAAGAAAAAGTCAATGCCACCCAAGGATTAAGAGCACTGGCTTAAAAGGCAGGCAAAACTGGGTTCTGATTGGCCCATCTGTTTGACCTCCATGAGCCTCAGTTTGCTTACTCGTTAATGATGGTGATAACAGCAATCTCACGGGGACTTATTAAATGGGTATGAAGTGCTCAGCTTAGGAGCCAGCACATGCCAGTGCACCTAGGTAAGGGCCAGAGCTGTTGCTGGGGTCACAGTTATGGAGCTGTTCACGTGGAAGTGACAGTTGAAGCCATTAAGTGTGAATGGGTTGGAGGATGGAGAGCGATGGAGAATGCATCAGGGGGCAGGTATAAGGGAGAGCAGAGGTCTTTGAACAACCTTGGAAAATGCTTGCATTTAGGAAGAGAAGAAAGAAGCACAAGAGACACAGACAAGCATAAGACAACAGGCTGCAGTTGGCAGCAATGTAGAAAGATGGTTTGGAATGGGGCTGCTTTGGAGAAGGGGGCTGGCATCCTCAAACACAACAGAGACAAGGGACACCACTGATGATCACATGGCCATAGAAAATACATAGGTAGTGGAAAAGCTTGGTGGTCAGTGCTGGACTAAAGAGAGCCCCCCATGATGCCCAGCACTGGGCTCTGACCTCCCTTGAGGACACAGTGCCCCCCCAGGACCCTTGGACTAAAGAGAGCTAAGGAAAGCTACTTTGAAGAGCAAATTAAATCAGCAGATGCATTTGTTCAACAAGAAGGCCAGTAAAAAAAAAAAAAATTAAGATACTAGCTGTGGTTATGCTGAGTTTAAAAGCAGTGGAAAAGGAGAAATTAAATGGGCCAGAGAAAGTTAATTTTGAGAGCAAGAACCTGGAAGACACTGGAAGAGGTGCCCTCTAGGGACTAAGTGTAGAAGTTACAATGGCCCTCAGATCTTTCCTTGCCAGCTTTGCTAAGATTGGAAATGGAATGGTATCCCCCATGATTCCAGAGCAGGCCCTGGGAACCTTGTGATCCTAGGGAATGTTTGTTGAACGAGTGAATGAATGAATCGGAATTCATGTTCCTTCTTCAGGAGACCTTGCCTTTGCCCTCTCCTGTAGACCCAACCCTCAATGTCCTTCTTTGTACTTCTCTCAGCTAGTTTAATCCTCCACACCGACCCTTGGTCTCTCCCTAGATTTGGACCTTTCACTCTGGCCAGGTTGGTCTTTCAGACCACAAGCTTGCCCACTTTATGCCTTTGCCCAGATCAGTCTCTTGACCGGGATGTCCTGTTGATCCCATGCCAGACAAAATCCTTTGAACTTAACCCAAATCTCAACTGCTCAGGCAGCATGCTCTGGCAGGCTTCCCCATGTGCCCAGCCTACAGCCATCGCGCTTCCTCTGAATTTGCCTTTGGACTTCATTGCCTTGTATTGACGGGGATATTTTCATGTGTGCAAGCCTAAAACCACACACTGCTAGGATACTCCCGGGGGGTCACATGAAGGCAGCTATGTCTGAATGCTCCACAGAAGAGGATCAAAAGCCTTGTGGCATTCTTGGCTCATTTAAGACTTTGTGCCTGAGCCTGTGTAGAAGGGACACCCAGATTGCTATTCAGACTGCATACACTTAGAGTCTGCTTCACCAATTACTTCAGCAATTACTATGACCATGTAATAAATTACCCCAAAATTTAGTGGCTTAAACAATGACAACATTTATTTTGTTCACAAATCTGCAAATAGGGCTGAACTCCACAGGGATATTTTGTCCCATTCTACTCTGTAACAGATGGGGCAGTTTCCAGGCAGGAGTTAGAATCATCTTCTGAAAGCTCACTCACTCACATGTCTGGGGTCTGGGCTGGGGAGGCTCAAATAGCCAGGGACTGGAACAGCTGAAGTTTTTCAAGAATTTCTCTCTCTACATGCTCTCTCCATGAGGTCTCTCCAGCAAGGAAGCTTCAGGGCTCAGATTTCATACCTGTTGGCTCAGGGCTCCCAAGGTACACGTTCCGAGAATGAATAAGCCAGGGTTCAAGGGAACGGAAATAGACCCTACCTCTTTTTTTTTTTTTTTTTTAACTCTTGATGGTAAAGTTCAATAATACATTGTAAGAAGAGCAATTCGGATGGAATAGATAGAGTGTGGCCATCTCTAGAAAATACAATCTGGGGGCGCCTGGGTGGTTAAGCGTCGGTTAAGCGTCTGCCTTCAGCTCAGGTCATGATCCCGGGGTCCTGGGATCGAACCCCGCATCGGACTCCCTGCTCAGCAGGAAGCCTGCGTCTCCCTCTCCCACTCCCCCTGCTTGTGTTCCTGCTCTCGCTGTGTGTCTCTGTCAAATAAATGAAATCTTAAAAAAAAAAAAAGAAAGAAAGAAAATACAATCTGCCACACCTACCTCTCTTCTTTGGTCAACATTTTGACCTCTCTTCTGGTTCCATTTCCGTTTTGATGGCAGCCTGGTTACTCCCAGGTCTTGATCTTTGCCTCAGTTACCTGCCAATAGCTTTAAGGCATAACAGCTTGAATTTGGGGTCAGAAGGAAGCAAAATGCTATCCCTTTCTTGCTACTTGCCTAATCTTTGGCAAATCATTTCATGTTTCTGATCTTTACCTCTCACCTGGGCAAAAATGAGGATGAAACTGCCTCATCATGTCATTGTTCTCAATAACCAATACCATCTTTTCTGTCCCTCTTGCTCTTCCACCTGGCCCCATGCAGAGCTGAGACCTCCCTCCCATGCCTGCCCTTGGAGACAGCCCCTTTCCCAGCCCCTCCAGGCCTTGTGAGAAAAAAACGAACAAAATCAATCCTCAAATAAATACAAATAAGTGTGTTCACCCCACAGGCAGTGCCTTCCCATGATAAACTACTTAAACATGTGCTAATGATGAAGAGTTGACTCTCCTGATGCCAGACGTTGGAGGCTGAGGGTGACCTCGGTGCCCCCATGTTAATTACTTCCTTGACTAACTCCAAAAGACACTTATTAAATTTTGAAACTCTCTGCTTATAAGGGCTCAACCAGTACAGCTGATGTCTCTTTCACTTTCTGAATCAAGGAATGAAACTACCAGCCAGGGAAGAATGGGTCTTACTGAGATGGGGGAAAGCAGACGGAATACGTTAAAAGAAAGCCATTACCCAGACAGCCGTGGAAGCTGCAGAACACAGAGGCAGCTCCACAGAGCACCAAGAGCCAAACGGACCTGGGTTCGAATAAATCCTCACTCTGGCGCTTGGGAGCATCGTGGTCTTACACAGTTTACTTAGCATTCCTTGCACCTGTTTCATCCGTGAAACACGAGTGTGATATCTACCTTCTAGAGTCGGTAATAGCTATATTCTTCCAATGTAGTGCCTGATCCATAACATTTGGGCAATAAAAGGCAGTCACCACTACTAACACACTTACAACTACTAGTCATAGTATCACTACTCTGGCTGAAATGTCAGCCTAATTTGACAATGCCCCATTATTGTTTTGTACCAAGACAGCCAACATCAGACCAAGGCAAAGGCAAATATAGCAACAACAGGAAGGGGTGACCCTCAAAAGTCTGTTTCGGGGTCCTCGTGGTGATGTCAGGGCTTTTGTGTCAACTTAGGTCTCCTTCCTAAGCTTTGTCACCAGAAAAATTCTCCAAATCAAACCAAACCACGAACTAAACTTGAATCCCAGCTCTGCTGTCTCCTATCTGTCCAACTTCAGACAAAAGAAAAACTATTTCAGCTTCATGTTCTATAAGATGGAGATAGTAATACCTACACCACATGCTTATTTGAGAAATTCAGTGTAGCATGTCTAAAACGCCCGATTTGCAGGAAGGTCAGCACAAATAATTGAGATACTCTTTGAACTCAGAACGTGTTCAAGCCTCTCCAACCTAGGGCAGAAGCATGTCCTGTAATAAACACATTCCACACATGACCGTTATCCACTCCACACGCACATTCACATACACACGCACACTCACACACATATACACATGCAAATACACACTTTCACACATGCACAATCACACATGTACATATGAACACACAGGAACACACTCATACCCACACATACACATTCCTACACATTCACACACAGACACATGTATGCATGCGCATAGACACACACACACCCACGCACTCAAACACATAGGCCTCTCCTAGAATGGGGGCCCGTTTTACTCCACAATTCTTAAGTAATCGCTCTAAATAATCTTAGAGGAGAAAGCAATTTGCATCTAGGACAGAATGTAATTCAGAGGAGGTTATTCTCCCTCCATCTCTTTGGTCATAGTGTCTTTCACACCAGGCTGTGCAAAGTATGGACTATTTTCTGAAGCTGTTGAAGGATTAACAAATCCAGACTGATCACACTTTCCTAGGGACTTTCATAAGAACACATATTTGGGTCCTACCACGGATTTACTGGATCAGAATATACAGAGTTGGAGTCCGGGGATCTATATATTTTTTTTAAAGATCCCTATATTATTCTAATGATCAATCAGATTCAAGGAGCACTTATTTGATTCTTGCAATCCCTCCATGCTGCCTTCAGATGGAATCATTAATCCATTTTATAGATGAGGAAAATGAGGATAGGTGAGGTTTAACGAAATGACAAATCAGTGACTATCAGAGACAGGTCCAAAATGGTTTTTGACCACCCAATCGTCCTTGCTGGTGATCAGCGGTGTGAGTGTGGAAAAATCACTTCAATTCTCAGGACTTTCATTTCCCTGTATATCAAATGGACAGAGGACGCCAGTCTCCTTCCCCCTATGGAAGCATGGCAAGAATGACATGAACTGATGTGTAGGAAAATAACTAGACACTTCACATATAAATAGGAGATGCTGTCATGATTTAAATGCAGGAACCAGAATTTCTCCAGAAGTTAGGGTCTCAGCTCTCAAACAGATTCCTGGGCAGAGAGTTTCTATCTATTTCTATCTAGTGGACCAGGAGTGGACACTTGATCCAGAGTCTTCACTTGGTGTGAAGAGCAATTTACAGTTCCTTCAAGTGACTGGAATTCATGATACGGTGACTAAGGTGGCTCCTGTCCCCTGCCTTGTACACTGGGGCTCTGACGAAGCCAATCTGCTAAGAAGGAAGAAACAGCCATGTAGCCAGTGAAGCAACGGTGACAGGGGCCAAATAAAAGTATTCCTGACAGCTCTTCATGTTTGCTTCCTGTCCATCCCTGGGCCTCTGCACATTTCTGGAAACACTCCATTATCCTTCTAATCAATTCCCATTTTGTGTCCCAGCTAGTTCAAGAGAATTTCTGCTACTGTCATCCAAAAATAGCTCTAACAAATACAGGTACCCAATCACTTTAATAAGTGCTTTTGCTAGAGAAAGACATGTATCATATGACCTCACTGATATGAGGAATTCTTAACCGCAGGAAACAAACTGAGGGTTGCTGGAGTGGGGGGTGTGGAAGGGATGGGGTGACTGGGTGATAGACAGTGGGGAGGGTATGTGCTCTGGTAAGCGCTGTGAATTGTGCAAGACTGTTGAATCTCAGATCTGTACCTCTGAAACAAATAATGCAATATATGTTAAGAAAAAAAAAAGAAGAAGAAGAAGAAGGTAGCAGGAGGGGAAGAATGAAGGGGAGGAAATCGGAGGGGTAGACGAACCATGAGAGACGATGGACTCTGAAAAACAAACTAAGGGTTCTAGAGGGGAGGGGGTGGGAGGATAGGT